TTATTTCTCCTCTAAAGTTCAGACCCACAGACACGTCCTCGTCTCTGATTTAAACTAAATGATGGTTTTGACGTCTCCTGGTATTATGGAGGATGATGATGATGAGTCTGTATCCTAGCAACAGTATCATGGAGACTACATGTAAACAAGTGTTGTTATGATATGAGTGAACTCCTTTTGAATATTATATGTATGAAGATCAGCTGTCAACAGTTCAGTATCTGGACAACACGACTCCTCCTCCTCCTCCTCCTTCTCCTTCTCCTCCTCCTCCTCAGTTATGTGTGAAGAGTTTCTCCATAAATCCAGACCTCCTCCTCCTCCTTTCTTCTTCTACAAGCTTTAGCTGATGTTTCCCATGACGTCTGATAGAAGAAAAGGTTTACATCTCCACCTCCTAGACCAGAACATCTCCACTGAGAGGCTTCAGAAAACCTCCGCTGACTTCTGTGGAGGTGAAGGAGCAGCAGGTCTTCTCCGAGCCCTCTCCAGATCTCTGAGCTCCTGACTTTATCTCTAAAGGACCAAGACCTGTCAGCTCCAGGGACTTCTCTTCTATCCTGGGCTGTAGATCTGACACTGACCTCTCTGGTTCTTGGTCTACAAACCGGTTTAATAAAGTAACTGAATTATTGTGAAGCGGTTCTCTGAGGCTGATGTGGGACACGGTCAGACTTACAGGAATGATGTTCTCCACACTGATCCCAACGTAGACCAGACGCTCCCTCCTGGACAGACACAAGAGTGGAGAGATGAAGGTTCAAGTCCACATCTGTAGGTCACAGGTCATTGTGTGTGTGTGTGTGTGTGTGTGTGTTCACCTCCTCTCAGCTCGCTCTCGTTTCTTCAGAGCACTGTCCAGGTTCTGCAGCTGCTCCTCCAGTTTCTCACACAGCTGCTTCTAAAGGCAGAAACAAACAAAAACCCGTTACTGCGTGTTTTAAAGACCATTTAACATTTAGGAGGAGTTTCACCGATTCTACAGTTTCTGAGATCAAATGGACTTTCTGTGTGTCTCTACCAGGGCCCGACCAATTTATCAGCGAGACGATTAAATCGTCCAATTTTAGCCCGTTTGAGACTAATCTGTAATCGCCGATTTTCGCCGATATTTTCAGAAATAAAATGCGGAGAATAAGATTCGGTTTCACTTCGAAAATGTTCCTCCACATATATGAGAGAAATTAGAGAAATTTAAAAAAAAAAAAAAAAAAAAGAGAAGAAAAAAAAAATAATTATTAAAAATTAAATAAAAAATAAATAAATAATCATAAAGTATATTAAGTAAATAACAAAGACAAAAAATATATTTAGACATAAGGCAAGGCGTTGTGCCGCATTCAGTCCGGGGCATGCAGGGGTTGGGGGGGGGGTCTGGGGGCCTGGGGGGATGCAGGCAGGTCTCGTGCGAGTGGGAAGGGACCCGAGGTGGTCCACAAATTTCAAGACCCCCCCTCCACCCATATTATTATTATTGTTATTCACCATCTTTATTAATATTGAATGTTGTTGTTGTTCTTCTTCTTCTTATTATTATTGTTATTATTGTTGTTATTATTGTTATTATTATTATTACCACTTAACACTGAAGCACCATGTAATAGCCTACCGTATACCTACACAGTATATATATATATATATATATATATATATATATATATAAATGTATATATTTTTTTTATAACTTGATAATTTAAAAAATGGGCTGATTAATCAGTAACCAGATCTATTTCCACCCTAATAATCGGTATGATATCGGTCGGGCCCTAGTCTCTTCATCAGTCACACAAACGTTGAACTCACATGCTGGCAGGGCGGGCAGAACCACTCTCCGTCCGGGATCAACATGAGCGGCGGCCGCAGACACGCCGTGTGGTAACCGCTGTCACAGGAGTCACACAGCAGGATCTGAGAGAGAGAGAAAAACACGTTTACAGATTCTACAGTGAGATAAACACGGTCAGTCACAGCGCTCTCACATCTGACTTCAGGACTTTTTAATATTCAGACTTTTTAATATTCAGACTTTTTAATATTCAGACTTTTTAATACTCAGACTTTTTAATATTCAGACTTTTTAATATTCAGGACTTTTTAATATTCAGACTTTTTAATATTCAGACTTTTTAATACTCAGGACTTTTTAATATTCAGACTTTTTAATATTCAGACTTTTTAATACTCAGACTTTTTAATATTCAGACTTTTTAATATTCAGGACTTTTTAATACTCAGACTTTTTAATATTCAGACTTTTTAATACTCAGGACTTTTTAATATTCAGACTTTTTAATATTCAGACTTTTTAATATTCAGACTTTTTAATATTCAGACTTTTTAATATTCAGACTTTTTAATATTCAGACTTTTTAATATTCAGACTTTTTAATATTCAGGACTTTTTAATATTCAGACTTTTTAATATTCAGGACTTTTTAATACTCAGACTTTTTAATATTCAGACTTTTTAATATTCAGACTTTTTAATATTCAGACTTTTTAATATTCAGGACTTTTTAATATTCAGACTTTTTAATATTCAGACTTTTTAATATTCAGACTTTTTAATATTCAGACTTTTTAATATTCAGACTTTTTAATACTCGGTTCGTGTTTCTTTGTCTCCTGCTGCAGCTCCTGGTTTTTGAGGCTCTGCTGTATTTTCTACATTTATCATGAAACAAACACTGATCTGAGCAGAGGAAACAGACTTTGTTGTTTATATTTTAATCTCTCTCTCTCTCTCCCCCTCTCCCCCTCTCTCTCTCTCTCACCAGTTCGGGGTGGTTGGGCAGACCGCAGTGACTGCAGGCGTCTTCTACTGGGATCTTCTCAGATTTACAGGACTCCCCTGAGTCACTCCCTCCTTCGCTCTCGTCCTCCCCTCGTTTCCTCCCTCTCTCCTCCCCTTCCTCGTTGAGTTTGCGTCTCTTCAAACGAATGTTGGACCACCTGGGGCGCCGATGTCTCCGTTTCCCCTGAAAACCCACGGCAGACACAGAGAGCGTGAACCTCAGAGACAGACAGAGAAAGAAAACCTGTTCTGGTCCTCACAGTCGCTCGTTTACCCGCTGTTTCCTGATCGGACTGACAGGTTCAGTTTTGGGGTCCTTTGGAGCGGACAGGCTCCTGTCCTCTTCATCATCGTCCTCTCCTTCCTCCCCCTCCTCCTCCTCCTCACCCCTCGCTCTGGTGGGCTTTGCCTTTTTTCTCTGCGGTTTCTTTCGGGGGCTCTCAGCCGCCTTGGGGCTCGGCCTGCAGTTTGGCAAAGCAGATGATCTTAAAGGAAAAAGGTAGACGGGTCTGAATTTAATGTCAGAACCAGAGCAGGTGGACTTCAGATCAGAGTGGACCAGGATGGTTTCAGGAATGTTATTGTGTTTTTACCTGCAGATGCGGGCCGACCTCCTCAGCGCTCTCCCCTCCTCCTCCTTCTCCTTCTGCTCCTTCTCCTTCTGGCCCTCCTTCGCTCCTCCTTTTCCCTTTAACTTGTTTCTGCGGTGAGGAGGAATCTTGATCTTTAAGCGGATTCCTTCTTTCTGGAGCTCAGAGGAGGCCTCCTCCAGGGGACCCTTCCTCTGCTCTGAAACCGGCTCAGCGTCCTTCACCTTGACTGAGGCGATCGCCCCACCATTGACCGGTTCTTCTTCCTGGTGGTCCTTCTTGTCCTGGTGGTCTAGTTTTAGAGGAGAGACGGCGCCCTCTGGTTCGGCTAAAGTGCTTCTCTTGGTTTCCTGGTCAGCTGGGATGTTCTCCTCTCTCGCTCTGCTGTCCTTCTCGTCCACGCCGCCGCCGTCGTCACCTTCCTGCGTTCGCTCTGTTTTCATCTCCACCCGCTCCTCCGCCACTTTCGGATCCTTTCCTCCTTCTGTCGGTTTTCGGAGTTCCTCTGTGGACTGAGAAAGTGAGGAAACACAAACTGGATCCAGGTTTTCCTCCAGAGTTCCAGGTAGTGGATCAGATGTTTGGGATGGTACTGCTGGCTTTGTTGCTGTTTGGACCTCCACATGAGGAGGAGGAGGAGGAGGAGGACCGCTGAAGGCCGCCGTCTCCCCCTCCACAGGCCCCTTCCTCAGCACGGACTGCCGGCCCGCCTCCCTCTCCTCCTCTGGAGCTCTGAAGACCTGCTGGTCCACGTTTGGCCCGTTTGGTTCCTGTTGCTCAGCAGAACTTGGCGCTCTGTGAAGTTCTGATGGGCTGCGGATTACTCCTACATGACCTACAACTTGACCTATGACCCCTACGGCTCCGTTCTGTCCCTCCTTGTGTGGCAGGAGGACCGTGGTTCTGCCGTTGGTCAGTTCTGGTCTGGATTCAGAACCCCCTTGTTGCTGTTGTGAGGCAGCTGGACCTCTAGGGGGCACTAATGAGTTGTGTAGTTTCCCCTCTCTGCCCTGACTGTCTTTGGTCTGAATCACTGAGGGGTTACAGACTATAATACTACTACTGTTGCTGTTGTTGAGGTGGTTGCTATGGAAACTCTCCGCTAGCTTCAGCTCCCTCTTCTTCAGCGGTATCTTGGCCTGCTGGCTGCTCCTGACCCCGGCCCGCTCCTCCTCCTTGTTGATTTCCTGTTTGGTCAGCGGCGTGATGACCACAGAGACGGCGTTTTTGGGCATCTCAGCGTCTCTGGACTCTGACTTGATGACGGTGGTGATGGTGCTCACGCGGTTATCGAAGAAAGGAGGTTTGTGGTCGACTTTGTCGTCTTTCACCTCAGTGTTCTCCTGCTTTATGGAGCGAGCCGACTCCTGTTTCATCTCTGCAAAGAAAACAGAACTTTACTCTGACGGAGATCTGCAGGCAGACCGGGAGGGGACAGGAGAGTTTTAGTGGAAATGATCAGAGAATAAAACGTGGTTATCGGTTATTAAAGGTGGAGAAAACAGGAACCTGTTAAAGAATCATCTTTTTATTTTGTGATTATATAAACAAAAATCTTCTAATATCAGTCAATAGTTATTAGTTATTGATTATTTGGTAATATATCGATATCTCTGTGTTCTCTTATGTCTGTGTCGTCAACATTTGAACATTTTTGAGCGGTCCGCTCTTTCTGACTGTAAACAAAGCCGTTCTCCACCTCCTCTAACCTGATTGGTTGTGAGGCAGACGCTGTTCCCCCGTGTCGTTCAGGAGCCCAAACAAAGTTAGCGTGCTACAATATCGGACAGTAGAAACCAACCAGAAAGTTCGGAAAGTTGTCTGAATCCTCCTTTGGCCACGACTGCCGACACAAGCAAGAAAACAAAGTAAATACCGGAGACTCTGGAGGAATAACGGGCGCTTAAAACGGAGGTAGACCGGACAAGAGCTAAAAAGCCGGGTCAACATAAACCATGGGGGACGCTTGGGGATCTTGGTGACCCTGTAACCTTTCTGCTGGACAGGTAAACCGCTTTAACAAAGTAAGACAAGTGTCTGTAACAGAAGTGTTTCTTGTCAAACGGACCTGCTGTAGCGTGTTGTAGCGCCATCGCTAAACTGTCCTCCCTCGGGTCCTGGACTATGTCACTTTATCCTCGTTGTAGAAGTCCTGCAAACATTGTGTTTGCTGGTAGTCTGTTGGCATCTACAGTAGCACCAATGCTTTTGACTTTCACCTTGACTGGGCCCCATTTGTAATGATCTGAAGGATTTATCTGCATTATATCTGAATTTAATTGGAACGATACGAGCGAGCAGGAGCGTCTGTTTGTGGGCGGGGCTTAAGAGAGGGAGAGGAGGAGCTGAGGGGAAAACTGGTTGGGAGGGGTAGAGTTTACATTCAAGATTTCTCCCAAAAACCTTTAAGGTGGTCCGTCTGAAACATCTACAAACATGTGGATGTGATCTACCTTGTTTTGGAGGTTTCTCTTCGTTTACAGCATCGTCCTTTTTACTACCAGTGTGTTCTTCTTCTTCTTCTTCTGTGCTCCTGCAGGGTTTGGGGTTCTGGGGATCCTCCACAGCCTCATCACCTAAGAGGTCAGAACAAAAGTTCACAATCCTTCACAAACAGTCCTGAACCCTTCTGAGTGTCGGGGTTTAAAACATGTTTTTAGACTATCTCTCTTTTCCAAAATGGCAGCTGTACATTTCAGATGTCCTCTAGTCCAGAAAATGTCTTTTCACTGCATCTATGTGATGTATATGTGTGCATGTCCCTCATATGTGATACTGGACTCTGTTGGAGCCGACGTTCATGATTTAAACTCTGTGATTCTATACAAGGTTTAGACACTGACCAACATACCTGCATCTTTTTCTGTGGGGCTGGTGCTTCTGGTTCCAGCCTGGTTCTGATCCTGATCCTGGTCTGGATCCCGGTTTGGACCAAGCTGGGCCTTCAGAAGCTCCAGAGCATCAGCGAGGTCATTTCGGGTCCTGAGAGGTCAGTGTGGAGTCGGTTAGTTAGCAGGAAAGACAAAATCAAAAGCTACTTCAGCCTCCGAGGTGTTCAAAGAAAATAACGTCAAGATCAAACTAAAACTGAGAGAGTCAACAGGAGAAATGTGGACCAGAACTAGACTACAGGACTACCTGACAATGCACTTCCAGGTGGATCCGTCCAGATCGTCCTGCTCCTCCGTGTACAGACGGATGTTCTGCTCCTGGTCCAGCTGAAGCCAGTACATCAGGCCCTGTTGGTCTCGTCCAATCGGCTGTAGACGCATCCTCTCCGGGTCCTCCTCGTTGATCACCATTTTGAACTTCAGGTTTTCATCAAACTGACACTCACAGAGATACTGCAGAGGAGGTGGAGAGGAAAAAGAGAGAGAGGGTTGATGTAGATGTTGCATTTACAGAAGATGCTGCGTCCACTAAGTACCACGGCTCGTCTCACTTTGAGGATACTTGATTTGCACTCCATGGACATCTCCTGGTATCCTTTCTGTTCCAGCTCCCACGCCCAGGTGTTGTTCAGTTCTTGGCAAACCTTTAAAGACAAAGATCAAACATCATCAGTCCAGATACCAAGTTTAGTTCTGAAATACCTCTCCTTTCACTGTCTCTGCGTGTGTTCACCACAACAGACGCACTTTCAAGTCTGAGAAATGACATTCCCTTAAACACCCCGACATCAGAGTTTTCTGTACAGTGAGACTTTTGTGATACGAGGAAAATAAGAGGAAATGAAAACTACACAAAAGCATCAACAACAACTAAGTCCTGCAAACTATTTTTATATAAATGATCAGAATTTTGAACAAGAACACAATTAGATCACATCAACATCAGTGTGCTTCATCTTTGTCATAAATCTGTATAACCAGGCTGCTTCATGTGGAATACCTTCACCTGTGAGATAGGTCTGCACGATATATCGTTTGAATATCGTCATCGCGATGTACGTGTGTGCGATAGTCACATCGCAGAGCCTGCGATATTGGAGGTGAATGAACTCATTTAATTTCAAGGGTAACTGACTGAGATACACTCCATGTGACTCTGCATGTGCTGTGCAGCGATCCACCAATCACCTTCGTCCTTTACTCAGTTGCCAATCAGACTCACTTCTCAGTTGCCAATCAGACTACCCTGCCAGCTGTCAATCAAAATCAGGGCGGAGGAAACCCACCCCTGCACATGTTCTGCACATGGAGTGAGACGCGTGTCCGCTGAGAATTACCTCGGGAACTTTACTCATGACTATTAAGCCCAACAAATAAGAACTGTATGGGTTTTAAAATGTATATTTCCGTGGACCACTCTACTATAAGCGGTGCGCGTTTTGCGAGGTGCATGCAATTCTCGGTGGACATGCGTTTCTTGGCACAACACCGCTAACAACAACAACAACGATCGCAAAATGAGCAACGAACAAGCGAAAACCACCGAAAATGAAGATTCGTTGTCAGTTATCTGGAATTATTACGGTTAAAAGAAGGATGATGTCGACCAAAACACGTCTTCTGTGTTCATCTGTTTCCACAATAACGTCCCAGCACAATAAAAGCTGAAAATATCTCTGAGACAGACAGAAGCCGTTCTACTAACATTCACAAAAAGAGGTAAGATCAGTGCAGATTAACTGTCCTCGAGATTTCAGCAGTGCAGCATAACATTAAATGCTATTCAGGTCATCTGGTGAAAATTCCTGTATTTTTAATATCGCAATATATATCGCAGGGTTGAAAAAAATCGCAATATTAGTTTTTTCCAATATCGTGCAGCCTTACTGTGAGACTCACTCAAAGATCATTTTTAACCTTCCCTGAAGATACCGTAGTCCCAACTACTCACAACTGGTCTTATTCTTCATTATTTAACTGACTATACTTTACACCCAGTCTGGTAATGAGACAGATAAAATGGGTAAGTTAACTCTCCATTCAGAGAAATCATGTTTCACTGATGGCTGAATGTTTAAAACACAAACACAGGCATGTCGATTTACAGAGACCCTTACCTTCGCAAGGTATTTCTCCCAGCGGTCTGTCGTCACAGACCTCCCCAGTTTTCTGAGCAGTTTTACATGGAGCTCCACGAGTGGTTGGGGAACTGAGAAAAAAAAGACACACGATTATTGGAAACACATCAGAGTTCAGCTTTAAAAGTCTATAATTCACTCAAACTCTAAAGTCGAAGTTTTTCCTGCCATTTTGCTCTTTTGTAGAACTTTGAAGGCAGAGTGTTGCTGCTTTCAGACACCTGACAGTGATGTACCAGTCCTCTGTTTAAAGGAGGGGGGAATAATTTACACTTCAGATATCTACATGTAGTTGTTTTAATTATTTATTTGGATCCCAATTAGCGACTACCTAAGTAGCAGCTACTCTTCCTGGAGTCCACACAAAGACAGTAAACATCCGTACATATTAAAATAATAAAAGTCCAAACAGGAGAATTATACAAGATGTTAAAATCAGAACTAAAACAAAAATTATGATGACGTTACATTTCCAATCACAACAAACACCAATAAAGGCCAAGATAAGTGTAATAGAAATCAAAAATCTCATTGTCATGTATTGTATGTTGTCACAGTCTAGTCTAGGTGTTCTGTTTCTTATTTCAGTGAGTCTGGGTCTTTAGATATTAGTATACCTTCTTTTTAAACACATGTTAACCTTGTAATGACAGAAGGAAGACTGTCATGTTTTCATACCTCTGAAAATACGCTGTCCAGAGTTAGTGTTGGTGAGTGAAAGTGTGAAACAACCATTTGATGTTGAAAGTATGATAATTACAACTGACCAGCAACTGATTAAACAAAACATTTGGCCTTTTATACACTAAAATTTGTCTAAAGAAGGAAAGCAGAGACACAGTAATCCTCTCTTTACCTTTTATTATACTTTTTATATACTTTTTTACATGAATGTATTGTATTCTGTTGTCAGAACATCTGATGACTGTTGTGGTGTTGTTTCAACTGTTGATAACTTATGACTAATAATAAAATCTCAGACAGTGACTGGGGGAAACACAGACAGACAGAGATGTTTCAGTGTTATCTGATGTGAGAATGTTCAGAGGAGCAGAAAGTCATCGGAAATTCCAGTTTTCTCTTCTGGTCATATCAATTATTTTCCATTTCACATCATGAACACGAACCCAGAACTGCGACGAGGGAAAAACACAACAAATTACTTCACATAATGAGATGTCGGGGAAATACTACCCCTGGTTTTAATGATAATCGATGTAAAGTCTAACTGTGTACAGTTTAGGTGAACTTAGAGCAACAGAAATAACGGTTATCAGACACTAGCTCGTAACTTGGAGAAAAGTCAATCAGAAATGATGTGAAAAGCTGCTGACACGACAGATGTGACTCCCAAATATCATTTACATCCAAAACAATACGGTAAATACACCGTAAAGCTTCTTTTGATTCGCTAAAAGAAGTTTACAGTACACTTGATGCTAACTCGTTAGCCAGCAGCAGCAGCAGCTCCTACTGCGCCTGCGCGGCTTTGACAGCCTCTCTACCAATGGCAAATAAATAACATCCTCTGTTTTTAGCAAACATCAGCCGTTCACGTCTTTAAAACCGTGTCAAAAAGGAGATTGACGGCAGGAAATTGCACTGTCACTCGCAAATGTTCAACACCAAACGAAAGGAACCATTCCGAGTGTGTACGAGGCAAAGGCCGGTGAAAAATTACACCTGACAAGACTCGGGGAGCTAGCTGGGTTAGCAGTGTGTGGTCACCAGGCTGTGCTGCATCATGGCTACCACACTCAAGTTTCACGTTAACAGATCAATATCAGCCTTGACAACATTATCGACAACATGTCACTTGACTCTAACTAAGACCCACGGGCAGGATGGACGGATTTTAGACCCGTTTTTGTCTGCTACAGGGGCGTGTCCAGACTTTTCAGGCAGGGGTGGCTCAGCTGTGGTACTGACTTCAGCAGGGGGGCCATAAAGAGAAATAATACAGTTTCACTAATCATAACTACAGCTGTTAACACCTCAGGTTGAGTCAGATGTAGTCTCTACTACATAATATCTACACAGGTCCGATCTTACGACGCAAACTTGACACTTACTTTGTTCACATGTTCTCCTAAAGGGAAAAAGTAAGGAGCACACAAAGAACTTCAGGGGAACAATGAAAATTGATCAAGTAATGTTTGTCTTATTGGTGGATAAAAGTATTATTATGAGAAATCAATTTTAGGTCTTTTGGTCACATGAGGAAAACAGCCTTTTCTGAGAACATCAACCAGTAATTTATTGACGGTCCCTTATTCAACACCGACGTTGACAGTGAGGGTGTCGAGTACATTTAACCGCGCTGCTGTTGTTATTCCCGGTTATGGAGAGTGAGAAGACAGCGGTAGATCCTCAGAGAATATCCGTCAGATAACCAACCGAAAACTAACTTCACCGCCGTATTTACAGGAAAATATATCCAACCTAAAACTAACTTCACCGCCGTATTTACAGGAAAATATATCCAACCTAAAACTAACTTCACGGCCGTATTTACAGGAGAATATATCCAACCTAAAACTAACTTCACCGTGTATTTACATGATTTTGCCTCGGATATTTTTTTTATGCGTACATGTGACCCTAAATACATTTTTCAATTTAACATTGATTTTTTGTCGCAAATGCTAGTGAATTGGTCGCACAGCCCGTTCATCTTCCTACCTTTATGTCTAACAGTACTCAGATATTACCCATAAATAAATTACATACAGAGTCCTTGCTTTTCTCTCACTTGTCTAATGGAAATATTTTTTTTGTCACATTTTAAAAGTGTGAGTAAAAGAAAATTCACTGTTTAAATTCAGAGACAGTAGATAGTGGCCTGTTGTAGCAGTTTTGAAGGTAGATTACAACATAGAGCCAACCCCTGATAAAGCAGGTATCCAATAATAGTTCAGAATTTTGAAATGACACATGGGGTGGCCAATCAGATCTCAAAAGGCTCCATGCCTCCTCGGCCACCCCGCCGGATGCGCCCCTGGTTTACTACCTTTAACTTAAGTACAAACACACAAACAACACAACCTAAAGAGTTAGAAAAAACCCTCTCTGAGCGAGTTCACGCTGTCACCATTCACGTCCTCCTCTCCTAATGTTCCCTTTCAGGTACAAGTCACGGTCGGAAACAACAACTGGAAGTAAAACGGACTGAACTCTCAGCGTGAAGAAGAAGAAGAAGCTACAACGCTGAGTCTCACAGTATTCCTCATCCTCCTCATCCTCACTGTGGTGATGATGATGATGATGGTGAGGATGAGGATGATGGTGTTGATGGTGGTAGTGGTGGACCCCCTTCTCCTTCGGTTTCAAGTGTCGCAGCTTTCCACCACTTCTTCGCCCCACTGCCACCATAAACACCGAGCTCTCACCTGTCGTTGTGTCCCGCAGATACCTCTCCATCTGCGGAAAAGTCATTTCGGGAAGGTCCAGCACCGCTCCGTACCGCTCCAAGAACGAACAAACCTCCGCGAAGCTCGGGCAGAGCGCCGGGCCGGAGCTACTCACCACCACCGGAGCAGCCATCTTTCCAAGCGGAGAGGAACAGGAGGGGAGGGCGGGCTGCGAGGATGCGACTGTGTGCGAATGAAATGAATGGAGGGAGTGAAACAGCTACCGGTGTCAGGCTGGAGGGTGACAAACACGAGAGTTCCGGAAAGGATTTTCAAAGTAAAAGTAGATCTAGCTTTACATACGAGCAAAAGATGAAATACGACGAGAAAAAAAGAGAAGACATTAATAACATAAAACTAGAGTTAACTACTAACAGGCCTGCTGACTGTAATTTACATTAAATTAATGTAACATAGTCCATAATTACTTATATCCTAGTCCTGTAAACTAGATTCATATTGTTTCATCATTACTTGCTCTGCAACCACAACTCTGTATGAGCTGCTGTTGCTGTCGTTGTTGTTTTAATATTGTTGTTGCAGTTGATGTTGTTGTTGCTGTTAGTTGTTGCTGCGGTTGCTGTTGTTTTAATATTGTTGTTGTTGTTGTAGTTGTTGTTGTTGTTGTTGTAGTTTTTGCTGTTGTAGTAGATGTTGTTTGATATTATGGGAGTTGTCCATTTTTAGATGTTGCAGCACTTATGTCCATGAAAACTGAGTGTATGAGCTATTTTTTGAGTCTTTAATTAACCTCTCAGTGAGAACATTGAGACTCCGTAGACACTTTAAACAAAGTCCAACAGGACAGCGACGTTTTGCTCTTATTCTGAAGGTAAATCTTTCCACATCCGGTCTGGTTGTGTTTGACCTACAGCGACTTGACGGAGCCACGAAAAGTTGGGAGGACCAGGGAGGGCAGAGCTAGAAATGCCCAGAATTCACCGCGATACGCCAACATCAAAACAGTCCAAATGGTTTCAGTTTTATTCTTATACTTTCCCGAATGAACAGTTTTAGGTTAATCCGACACAACATTTACAAAAATCAACGTCCGAGTAGAAACTGAACCGAACGGCTTGTTGTAAACATGGTGGTTTAATATCTGTACAGTATGTATCATGAGTACAGTATCTCAGTTTGACTGCATGCTGCGCAGATTGTCACGCTGCTTGAGATGATGATGCGTTCAGGGACTGCTAGGATTTACCAAGATCACATCCCCGGGAAATTTGATTTAGAAAAAATCCAATTTGAGTTTTAATCCCAGCATAATTTCATAACAGGTCTGCAGTTATTAACATCATTATTTCTCAACTGAAAGGGAACCCGATGATAAATAAACCAGTCAGAAGGGTAACAGTCCAGACATGTTATTAACATAATGAACATGTGTATGCTTGGACATAAAATTGTGATGCAGGTCAGTCTGAAAATGAATGTACGAGACGATTATTAATTCTTCACAATGTAAGCTTTATTAAAACACTACCCTGCTGTTTTTTATATTTAATTTCATTTTCATACTTTATTTCGTTCAGTTAATATTTTAAACCTTCAACACAAACATGGAAAAATCTCAAACATGGGAATAAAAAGGAGCAAAAAGAAGAAAACTCTTCTGTAGTCTGACCCTCTTTCATCAAATATTCATCAACTAAACACATAATAATAAAGATAAACAAGAGCTGTAGGACAACATGTATTTTTATCATTTCTTATTTTCAAAAACAAACAGAGAAGACCACCTTAATTCACATTTTTACTCAAAACAAACAGACACAGACTAAGATGAACATGTTTCTGAGAAAATGAGAAAAAAGCTGAGTTATTGGGTTTATACTGTATGTTTTCTTCACTGAGTTACAGCCTGTCAAATCACTGGTCATAAGATGTCAGGTTTGTCAAACTGAAGCTGAGGTTAAAGGTGATGAGAAATTCAAATATGAGGTTATATGGGTATAAAAATGATAAAAATGTTAAGATCAGACATCAGTGCTTCTTTCTAACAGATAGCTATTGTTACACAGAGATGTAGAATTGTTTGTAAGCCCGATTTTCCCAAATGAAAACTGGGATTTGCAGACCAGAACAGTCTACTACCTTTGAAAGATGTCATTATATTATTAACTGTCATGTTTGGACTTATTCTTGTATTTCTGTTTTTCTCTTTTAAAAGCTCAAGTGTGAAATAAATCACTTCAGACCGATGAAAATTTGAGTCAGGAATTTCAAGTCAGGACTCAAAAGAGTCCCCTTACATTTTAATCTTAGTAACTGTTTACTCTGCTTACTGTTTATATGCATACTATTTTACTATTTTGTGTTGTATATAGTGTACATACTTGTATTATATTATCTCTTTATTTTTACTTATTTTATCTATTATTTTTCTCCTTTTTCTACTTTATTTGCACTGGAGTTACTGTAACGTAAAGCTATTTTCCCCCTGGAGATTATTAAAGTATTCCTGATTCTGGTTGTAGTTAATTTTGGATGTTTGGCCTCACCAGGTTTCTTGAACTTTAATGTAATGGGAGAATTAACGCCGTAAAATAACCACTGATCACCTCCAAACTGCTCCTGAGCTGCTGCATGTTCTATCTATCTATCTATATATCTATCACCCTCCCTGTCCTCACCAAATCCCTAAATACTGTGTATATAACTGTATCAGAACATCGAAACCATAATTTACGAGCTGCATCTGAAGGCAGCAGCAGATGCAGAAAAGCCGAGCTTTTTTTTTGGACCTGAAGGCATCTTTATGTAAATAAGGCGGAAGGAGCGGAGATCTTACAGGAAGAAGACACCAAAGTTTGGTGTTTATTTGTTTCATCTGTTGAATTTCTCTTCAGTTTAACTTCAGTCCTGACAAACATCTTCATGTTGTTCTTCCTGCAGTATGGAGCTGTGTTACTGCAGATATGAGCCTTTAGGAGAGCACTAACCTCGAACAGAAGCTCGTTTTTGGTGAGTTTAAGTTGATATTCCCGCTCAGTCATGATGAACTAACATGATTTTTTATAATGAGTTTATTTAATTCATTTTAATCACTAACTGTTCACTGAATTAACGCTTTAGTACGAGAAATCACCTGTAAAAACATTGGAGTAAAAATGCATCTGTGTTTGTTTCTTTAGTTTGTCACTTTTCGGGTTCGTCTGAACAGATTTTTACAGTTTTGTTAAACTTTAAATGATAATATAATAAAGTTGAACGTACTGATAAACATTATAAAGTCCAACAAAGAGTCCAGTCTGCTGGTTCTGCTGTGGAGAGACTGTCACGAGTTTTTCAGTCTTCATGAAGCAACAAGAAGAAACAAGTTTGACTATTTTTAACACAAGAGACCAACAACTGCTGCTGTTACTATTATTATTATTATGATTATGATTATTGTTGTTGTTGTTGTTATTATTGCTATTATCATTAGCCAACAAGAAGAAACATGTTTGACTATTTTTAACACATGAGAGCAACAACAGCTGCTGTTACTATTATTATTATTATAATTATTATTATTATTATCATTATTATTAGCCAACAAGAAGAAACATGTTTGACTATTTTTGACCTTCAGGAATTCACACATGAGAACGACCACAGCTGCTGGGAGGGGAAAACCCTGGGGTGGGGGGATTATGGGAGCTGTTTATTTACTACTACTACTGCTACTACTACTATTATTATTATTATTATTATTATTATTATTATCATTAGTAGTAGTAGTAGTAGTAGTAGTAGTAGTATAGTATTATTAGTATTGTTATTATTATCATCATCATTATTATTATTATTATTATTATTATCATTATTTTTCAGTTAAGTATTTGTTGTGGCTGGGACGATATGTTTTTCTCCTGATTTGATTCTTCTACGATTTTTCTAGATGCCGATTCGATTTAAATTGCGATTCTACAATATTGTCAATTTTCTGCATTTGTAACTCCAGTGAAACAGTTAAATTATTATGATTATCTACTGACTATTCCAGGAACCACATTTCCCCCCAAATTAAACATCAAATAAGAGTCATTTTTTAAGATTCTTATTCTTAAATTTGAACAAAAAAAATCAATCTAAAAATTGTAAAACAAAAATTTGCAATAATCATGTGAATCGATTTTTTTTTCTCCCACCCTAGTATTTGGGTCCCTAACAATATTTGAAATATTTGTCTGATTTTATTGATGGGTGGATGGGTAAATATGTGGAAAAAAGAAATTAAAAAGTGAGAAATTTAACCTTAAAATTAAATTTGTATAGAAGTTAAAACTGAACTCGTGCAAATATTAAACTTCACTAATATTTTACACTAAATGAAATATATGTTTATACATAATTCTCTGTGTAGTTGTTGACAGACAAGAAATCAGTAGAAATTCAGAGTCGCTCTTATAAGAACAGTGGATCTGTTTTGTGGGTGTAAACCACATTCACATGGTGCACTGATGGGTCTTTGTCTGTGTTTGATTAAATTGAGTCATTAGATTGTTTCTAGTCACCACAGTAATGTGAATCACAGTTGGAAACAGTTTCCTGTGTGTCTGGAAAAAGGTCGTAATGTAAAAGCCTTTATTCAAATTTAAATTTAACTTTATTTTTATGGAACTTTTCAGACAAAAAATTCTTCACAGAGGCAAAAAACAACAATTAACAACAATAAAACTCGACCCTACCACCCACAAACACACACACACAGACACACATCCTCACATACACACACACAAATGCACACAGTGTGAGAATTTAAGATATATTGTTAAAGAGACATGGCCTGACACAGAGACATTACAGGAGGAAAGAGCTGCCTTTAGGAAACACTGGAGATAAAAGTAAAGAGTAAAACCTGATGGACTAAAACAATAAATTAATATTAAATGAACAGATAAGTTAGAGCTCTTTACCAAATAAAAATGGGTAAAAGAAGTAAAAACTTCTATGATGGGAGTTAAGAAAAAGACTAAGAACAGAGATAATTAATAAAATGACATAAAATAAACATTAAAACTGATTTAAAATGAACATTTGTAATAAAAGAAATATAAAAAGGCAGTTAGAGTTTTGAGCCTCTTCTTCAAAACTCGATCATTTTAAAAAAGACTCATTATGTCAAATAAAGACTGAAGTTTTGATCTGAGGATGTCTGACATGTTGGTGTTTCAGCGTTTTATAAAGAAATCGTTTGAGATGAAAAAATCACGAGTCTTCGTTTTTTCGTGTCCACAGGTGTTTGTTTTTCTTCGGAGCTGCAGGTAACAGACGAGCAGGAAGATGGCCATCGCTCACGTGGCCACAGAGTACGTCTTCAGTGATTTCCTGCTGAAAGATCCCAGCCAGGCGCGGTACCGCAGCGTCCGCACTGAGCTGGCCGTGGACAAGATGGTGACGTGTGTGGCGGTGGGACTGCCGCTCCTCCTCATCTCTCTGGCTTTCGCTCAGGAAGTCTCAGTCGGTGAGTGGCGGGAAAGAGTTTGACGTGCTCTCTTTAAACCAATGAAAAGCTGATTTTAGTTTTCTTCTGATTTACACGAGTTAAGGTTTGACCTCTGTGTTTGTGAGTCTGACAGTCAGACGTTTTGTAAAATGACCTTTGACCCTTAAACTTTGAATAAAAGGCTCCAAACTGATAATGATCCTTCAGTCAGCGAGCGCTCGGCTCTGTCGTCCAGTTTCTACCTCTTCCTGTCGTGTTTCTTGGTGTGTCAGCTGTTTTTGTTAACTCTGTGTGTGTGTGTGTGTGTGTGTGTGTGTGTGTGTGTGTGTGTGTGTGTGTCTCAGGTACTCAAATCAGCTGTTTTGCACCCACTAATTTCTCCTGGAGGCAAGCAGCATATGTGGACTCCTACTGCTGGGCATCAGTGCACACACACACTCTACCTCTATGGCTGCACAAGGTACACACACACACACACACACACACACACACACACACACACACAGTCATTCTCTCTTCATGTTAAAGGTGTTGTAGTCAGGATCTGAGTTAGTTCCAGTTTTTAGGAGAAATCTTGAATGTAAACTCTACCCCTCCAACCAGTTTTCCCCTCAGCTCCTCCTCTCCCCTCCCTCTCTTAAGCCCCGCCCACAAACAGACGCTCCTGCTCGCTCGTATCGTTCCAGTTAAATTCAGATATAATGCAGATAAATCCTTCAGATCATTACAAATGGGGCCCAGTCAAGGTGAAAGTCAAAAGCATTGGTGCTACTGTAGATGCCAACAGACTACCAGCAAACACAATGTTTGCAGGACTTCTACAACGAGGATAAAGTGACATAGTCCAGGACCCGAGGGAGGACAGTTTAGCGATGGCGCTACAACACGCTACAGCAGGTCCGTTTGACAAGAAACACTTCTGTTACAGACACTTGTCTTACTTTGTTAAAGCGGTTTACCTGTCCAGCAGAAAGGTTACAGGGTCACCAAGATCCCCAAGCGTCCCCCATGGTTTATGTTGACCCGGCTTTTTAGCTCTTGTCCGGTCTACCTCCGTTTTAAGCGCCCGTTATTCCTCCAGAGTCTCCGGTATTTACTTTGTTTTCTTGCTTGTGTCGGCAGTCGTGGCCAAAGGAGGATTCAGACAATTTTCCGAACTTTCTGGTTGGTTTCTACTGTCCGATATTGTAGCACGCTAACTTTGTTTGGGCTCCTGAACGACACGGGGGAGCAGCATTTTCTTGTTGACTGTTTTCTTTTTGACCGGTTTGGTGTTGACTGTTTATGGTTGACTGTTTTCTTGTTGACCGGTTTGGTGTTGACTGTTTATAGTTGACTGTTTTCTTGTTGACTGATTATAGTTGACTGTTATCTTGTTGACTGTTATCTTGTTGACTGTTTTGGTGTTGACTGTTTATGGTTGACTGTTTTCTTGCTGACTGTTTTTTGTTGACTGTTTTGGTGTTGACTGTTTATGGTTGACTGTTTTCTTGTTGACTGTTTTCTTGTTGACTGTTTTTTGTTGACTGTTTTCTTGTTGACTGATTATAGTTGACTGTTATCTTGTTGACTGTTTTGGTGTTGACTGTTTATGGTTGACTGTTTTCTTGCTGACTGTTTTTTGTTGACTGTTTTGGTGTTGACTGTTTATGGTTGACTGTTTTCTTGCTGACTGTTTTTTGTTGACTGTTTTGGTGTTGACTGTTTATGGTTGACTGTTTTCTTGTTGACTGTTTTCTTGTTGACTGATTATAGTTGACTGTTTTCTTGCTGACTGTTTTCTTGTTGACTGTTATCTTGTTGACTGTTTTCTTGCTGACTGTTTTCTTGCTGACTGTTTTTTGTTGACTGTTTTGGTGTTGACTGTTTTGGTGTTGACTGTTTTGGTGTTGACTGTTTTCTTGTTGACTGTTTTCTTGTTGACTGTTTTCTTGCTGACTGTTTATGTTTGAGTGTTTTCTTGCTTGTGTCGGCAGTCGTGGCCAAAGGAGGATTCAGACAATTTTCCGAACTTTCTGGTTGGTTTCTACTGTCCGATATTGTAGCACGCTAACTTTGTTTGGGCTCCTGAACGACACGGGGAGCAGCGTCTGCCTCACAACCAATCAGGTTAGAGGAGGTGGAGAACGGCTTTGTTTACAGTCAGAAAGAGCGGACCGCTCAAAAATGTTCAAATGTTGACGACACAGACATAAGAGAACACAGAGATATCGATATATTACCAAATGTCATCAATAACTAATAACTATTGACTGATATTAGAAGATTATTTGTTTATATAATCACTAAAATAAAAAGATGTTTCTTTAACAGATTCCTGTCTAAACATGAAAACCTTCCGATCTCACACTGAAACAGTAAAGAGTTAACTCTTCTGACACTGCGGCGGTAAAACCAGCTGGAACACATGAAGCTTTTGTCTTGTGATTTTTTTTGTTCCTGTGGTCGACGACGTTCGGGGTTAAAAACTTTGTGGTTGGGTTAACCAGAGCCTCCAGTGCAGTGATGGTGGGTGTGAGTCTCTTTCCCAACTTAAACACATCCGTCTGTTGTGGCACGAGACGATCACAAGAATCTCAGTGTCGAAACAGCAAACGGCACATGAAGATGAAGCGCAGAGACTCATGGAGGAAAATCAAAAACACTTGAGTTTGACAGAGGATTAAACTTCCTTTAAGATCATTATATCATCTACTAAACTAATATACTGTACACACATGAGAGTCACCTTATTCAGAGAAACAACAGTGTTTTTTTGTATGATGGGGTACAGTGAGAAGAATGAACGTGGTTATATTTAGATCTCCTTTCTGAGGATTTATAGAGGTTATTACCCTGAAGTTAGTTTCCATAGAGTCAGTTTAAAACTGTAACAGACTGATCCTGTGAGCCCTGAGACAGCTGTCACTCACCTGAAGGTTCCACCTGAGTTCAGGTTTCATGGATGTTCTAACAGGGTTGAACGTTTCCTCCTCCTGCTCCCGTCTCTCTGCAGTTCTTCCCCTACATCCTGCTGCTGGTCGCCGTGATGATGTACACGCCGGCGTTATTCTGGAGATTTTCTGCGGCGCCGCTCCTGCAGTCGGACCTCAGCTTCATCATGGAGGAGCTGGACCGGTGCTACAACCGTGCCGTGACTCTGGCCAAACGCATGACCACCTCAGGACTGCTCACCCCAGACAGGTGCGACGGAAACGCCGATTAGCAGAGAGGCGGTCGGGATGAGACAGACGAAAAGTTATGGAGGTCGATCTGAGAAGGGAGATGATCACAGTTCATCACAGAAATCAATCAATCAATCAATCAATCAATCAATCAATCAATCAATCAATCTTTTTTTATTTGTATTGTACTTTTCATACAAAAACAATGGAGCACAAAATTTTTTACACAACAGAGGAACAAAAGAAAGGAAACACAAATCTACACAACCGCTCATTCAAGATAAGGAAACACTGGAGGTTTAAAATCTAAAAACCAGAGACTGTATCTAGAATAGACGCCGTCTGCCTCCTCTCTGTGAGAACAGCGCCCTCTGGTGACGGGCTGCAGTATAGGTCATAAACCCCGCCTCCTTATGGAGCTGTGGACAAACTTTATAAATGAATGACACAGAATATAAATGTTTCTCCCCCCTGGTTGTGATGTTGACATGTAGTTACTGTCAGACTGGTTTGTGCTCAAGTCCTCTTTTTTCTGTACAGCTCCATTTTTAAAAGTTATTAGGGGGTTCATGTTTTCTATGATTGACACCTGATACAGCCAATGGGAGGACAGGGATTGAGTAGATCACCGGGGGATACGCTGCTGCACAATGTCGGTTTCAGGAAGTGGAGAAAAAACGCAGAAATACTGAAAACTTTTCAGCTTCAAATCTGTAAACAAGCAGAAGGCAGAACTAAGTTGTCCAGAGTAAATACAGTTTATGCTAAAAACTAAGTAACATAAAATGAAATGAAACCAACAGTAAAGATACTAAAATAAAAACACCAAAATAGCTCAATAAAAGACGATCCTGTCGTTAAAACTAGAAAGAGATAAATGTTGAAACACTCAAAGTTAATGGTTTAAAATGTAGTTAAAAGGTTTGTTTTCAGTTTGGTTTTAAAGTCATTAAGATGAACCTGAAGTCGAGCAGAGAAGCAGAGAGAGATCAGGTTTACTGTTGACTCAGATCTTATGACGGTAAAAGTCCGCCCTCCTAAACTCTGGTTTAAGTTCTTCTAAACCACCAAACAAACAAATTCACCATGAGGTTGTTGTTCCACTGAAGGAGGAGTCTAGACCTGTGAACTGATCGAGGTCTGAGCTCTCCTGTTAGGGTCCGACCTGCAGTCTCTAACCTGTCAGCTGCTGCAACAACCAGGTAAACAAACATCAGCTGACTGTTGGTGGTTATCAGCTGATGAAGTTCTCCTCCCTCTCTGAGACGGTTTAAACTTTAGTTTGGTAGATGTCTGCTCTCATTGTTCAGACTGTCTCTGTTATTGGAAAGGATCGATCACACCGACTTCATGGTTTGATTTTCCTCCCTCTCTCCCCCGTCCAGTGACCCCACTGAGGGCTGTTTTAACTACCCACTGGTGGAGAAGTTCCTGATGACCAAGCGCTGCTCGCGGACGCTGCTCTTTTACTACCTGCTGTGTCGCAGTTTGACTCTCGTCACCCTGCTGTGCGCCTGCGTCTACCTGGGCTACTACCTCCGCCTCGCCTCCCTCACGGACGAGTTCGGCTGCTCGCTGCGCGTCGGCCTGCTCGCCGATGACCCGGGGGTCCCTGACAAGGTGCAGTGTAAGCTCATCGCCGTGGGAGTCTTCTCTTTGCTCAGGTATGATGTCACCAAACGGAGGTAGTTTACCGCCGCGCGACGACAGACGGATCAGGTCATGAGTTAGAACTGGTCCCGCTTAATTAAATCCCCCGTTACCATGGTTACGGTCTCTCGTTGATTGTTGTTTGTTTCTCTCTGAATTGTGTTTCCCGGAGTTTACATTCGTGTCACCCGTCTGACCTGAACCCCTGACCTTCTGTCTCCCAGCCTCGTCAACCTGGTCCTGTTCATCGGACTGGTTCCTGTGGTTTTTTACGCCAGTCTCCGCCCCCTCTTCTGTCATGGGTACGCCCGCTTCCTGGAAATCTACCAATCGCTGCCCACTGTGGGCGTCCTGCCCAGTCCTGCTGGCCAATGGGATGATCTGGCTCTGTATCTGCTCTTCCTGGAGGAGAACATCAGTGAACTCAAGTCCTACAGATACATTAAGGTTTGTTCGTGTTCGCAGATCCATCGATCAGAAGGACGATTCTTACTGTTAACTCGATTTTAGATTACTATTACTTTAGCTTTTGTGTCACGTTGTGGTTTTTTTGTGGCCAGTAGGGGGCAAAGTCCCCCGCTTTTTTCAGTAAGTGAAATCATTTTTGGTGAGGAAATTCAATTTATTTTTTTAATATTTTAAAAAAGTTTTTTCCGCTAAACTTCTGGAAGGTCAAAGATGCTCAGATGTTGACAGATTTACTACCCTGTGGCTGTTTTTGTCCACTGACTTTATCTGCTGTAAAAACAAACCAGATAAAGAATTTTTTCATTTTTTTTCTTAAATCTCTTCATCGATCTCAGTCCTTATCATAACATTTATTATTATCCTTATTTTATTATGACATTTAACCCTTTAAATGCCACATTCAGAGGTGATTTGAGTAAAATCACATTATATGACAAATTTTTGATATCAAAGTGATCAGAGGCTGAGGAGGTTTTACCTGCTGTCACACCTGTGGGTATGTCAAATATCAGCAACAACATTAACTTTGACGCATTTTTATTTTTTCAAAGCATCAGGTTTACATTTTTTTAACCCCGTTTTGGCCTTTAGTGGCTGTTTAAAACTTTAACTTTAGCTGCTGTAAAAACATATCAGGTAAATATTTTTTCTTTTTTTTTCTTACTCCAGATCAAAAATATTGAATATAGCATCAAATATTTAATATTTTCCACAGCTGTGCAGTCATAAAAATGTGGTTATAATGGGAGTCAATGGGGAGTAAAACCTAAAATCTGATGCTGTGCATCAAAGTCAATGTTGTCACTAATATTTGACATGACCAAGATTGTGATAGCAAATCTACATCCTCTAAACATTTTTTAAATAAAAATCAGTCATTTTGTGTTTTTTTTCCCCCTCAAATCAGTGACATCACCTCTGAAAGTGGCATTTAAATGGTTAAAATCAATATCTATTTCTAAAGATTCAGTATTTTTATCAGGACTGAGTTTGATGAAGAGATCTGAGAAAAAAAATCTCTTTGAAATGTTTTTCCAGCAGCTAAAGTTAGAGGACAAAAACAGCCAGAGGAGGATGAAAGCGTGTAAAAGGGTTCAGAAGGGCACAGAAGGGTTAAATTAAAGATGATATTTCCACAACAAAGCGAACAGCAGTAGACGGTCTGGTCGTGAAGCTGACCTCCAGTCCTCCTCCTGCTCTTGTTTTCCTGACGTCAGGTGTTGGAGATGTTGAAGAGAAGGGGCAGCTGCACCTCTGAAAACTTTGACGCCATGGGTCTGCTGCAGACTCTCTGCCTGGTGAAGATGGACACTGTGGACGGGAAGAGACCTCCGAGTTCTGCAGGAAAACAGGATCAAGTCCAAACCAACAACACAGACTACGCTAGCAGCTCCCAGGCTGCTGACACTGGAGCAGGTCCGAAAATCCAGAACCATCAGGGTACTGAGATGAAGGGTGAGTCCAGAGAGGACGGACAGTCCGAAGTTCAGTCTAAGATGGATCAGTGTGGTTCCGACTGAGTCTTTGTCCTAAAGTCATAACAAACTTGTAAATCCTGTATATTTATCCTGTGTTGGTGTAAAATGAGTTTTATTTTGAGGAGATGTGGAGCGATGAGTCAGGACGAACATGAAAGTGTGTGACGACGGTGAGAATCATCTCAGTCTGATCAGACCTGTTTCCTGATCCTGGATCCTATCATTAAAATCAAGTGTTTTCATCCGATTCACAAAAAGAGGTCCCACACAAAAACAATCTGAAATTTCTTCTTATTCATTTATTGAAAGAAAAAGATTCTAAAACAAATGAGATTCTCAAATAAACTCTGATTTCACCAGCGAGCTGCACCTCCGAAAATGGGAGTGACTCTTTCCTTGAACATTCAGATGAATCCCTCGCCGGTGAAACAGAGAATGTTTCTGCTGCAGATCTCTGAGGTTGAAGATTCAGCCTCAGCAGCAGGTTCAGATTTACTAATAAAGACAGAGACAGTCGTGTCTGTCCCTGCTGCTCGTCTTTTCTACTCCAGCTCCTGAAGACGTAACATCGCTAAAGTCAGTCAGTTCACTCACTGCTGTTTTTATTCCAGTTTTAGCTTCTCATGTTTGTTCGCTCCTGTAGATGTTCACTAACTTCTCACTCACGCTGAGTCATCTCTTTTCAGAACTCCATCCTCTGCTCTCAGAAACCAGCGACGGTACGAGAAACTAAGGCGGTGAGGGAGGGGCTCTCCAACAACGAGTCATGTGATCAACTGTGTACGGAGGTTTTTAAAGTGACATTAACGAGCATTAACACATCTGAATGAAGTGACGCAGTGAGAGAGAGAGAAGCAGCACCTGAACCTGACCGCAGTCACCCTCCGTGATGTTGAACCGAACAGACAGAGACGGTCTCCTCCTCTGTGGATTTCTGGGAAATAGACTGTACATAATTATATCACAAGTTTCTGGATATCTTTTTAATAAGGAGACGATTCTCAAAGACAGATTTGTCAGAGTGTAAAGATCATTTCTTTGTTTTATTGCTCCTGTACTGAGAAACTTTCCTTGGTGTTTGTGTCGGTGCAGTTTGTAAAGTTATTTGCTGCTTTAAGTAGGACAGTATTTGGAGTAAGTGGGAATGCCAGCTTTAGTTTTATTTTCTCTCATAGACTGTATAAAAGGAGTGGATGACGCCTTAAAACCTCAAACACAGAAACGTCTCAAATCTCTAAATGGTGTCAGATTATAAAGACGTCTCAGAGGAAATCAAACCGTCTCTCTAAAGTCTGAAAAACCAAAAACAGTGCATGGTTTTAGAGTTTTAGATGTTCTCCAATACAAAATGATTTTCATGAAGTCAGTGACGGCTCTACGTAAACTCAACCAGGTCGTAAAGTTCGGTTCGTAGTTCGGTGCTTCTGCCTTGTGGTCGACCCTGATTCCAGCTCCACGTCATCCCTGCTGTCCAAGTGTTTTTAACAAGATGGTGAAGGCTGTCAAAACAAGAGCCACACACACACACACACACACACACACACACACACACGCCTCATCCACTTTTTTTAGACACAGTCTGTGGTCCCACTCTTCATGTTTAAGGGTCTGAACCTGTGGGGATACATGCATTTGCACTTGGGAGAGTCTGAGGGTGTGTGTGTGTGGGGGGGTTACCGATGAATGAGGAGGTCCTTCTTCGGTGTTTCATCTGTTCATGTTGATTTTTGTGTAAAGTGATTTGAAACGGCAGCTAGAACAACATCCTTTGGTCACAAAATCACGATTCCTCAAACTGTTTGGGATTTCCTGTAAAAACTGGACGTGTCTCATTTCTGTTGTCAGGATGGTTCTCTTAATTATCTGCTCATCAGCAAACAGCCTTTAAATGTTCAAAGAAAGGGTCGAACGTGTGTGTCTTTAGTGTTAAAATCTTCAGTGGTGATCAGTGAAAACCTCAGCTCAGACCTGCTTTGGTGTCTGTCGGTTTTTTCATGTTTTCTAACCTGGAGATGATCTTCAGCATCTCGGACCTCTGCCTGCTTCTGTGTCCTGCTCTGTGGTGAGCTTTGTAGTAAACTTGATGTGGTAAAATCTCATTTTTATGACTCTCTTTGTAAACTCGTTTCTTTGGTTCACGTGAATGTTAACATGTATTACTGTGCAGTCCAGGACAGACAGCAGAGATTAGATTTGGTGAGCTGCTGTCGTACATCTCAAACTGACATTTGGTGATCGAGACACTTTTAGGATTATTGCCAAAATAAAAGTGTTTGAATGGTGCATGTGGTGAGATGATTTCCAATAAGATATCTTTATATCTCTTTATATGGTTGAAGATTCACAGTTTGACTGTGAGGTGGGGGTATGTGCAGCAGGAGAAGGAAGGCGGTTCTGTTTGTTCAAGTAAAACAAGAAAGTTAAAGTATCAGTGGTTTAGTTTCACTCTATAAAGAGGCGCTCGGGAACTCCACAGGGGGCCTTTTAAAGTCCAGCATGAATTTGAAACTTTTTCACAATAAATTTTTGTCGTATCTGACCCTGTTTAATGTGTGTTTTTTTTTTAGGCCAAACAAGGATGTTGTAACCAAAGTTTTTAAAAAGGTAATGATGTTGGCCTGTTTCTATAATAGATCGGACAGTTAATGAGAGTGACTTAATGTCTTAATGCCCTCTCCAACCAAGACATAAAGCCAACTGTACGGGCTCTATACACCAACAAACGGATTAATCCAGGTGTGTCTGAGCAGTCACAATGATCAGTCACACCTGGATTGATCAGTTTGTCCAATAATGTAAGACAGGACATGTATGTTGTGCCTTAAGTGTGTCCTTAAGTGCCCGGAAAGGCGCCTACAACTAAATGTTTGATTATGAAATTGTTATAATTCATGTTAAAGTTCTTTCACTGACTATGAGAGCCTGAGTTTTATTCATCAGATAACCATAATAATTAATGTGTCGTTGGGTTACACATTGTTTTTTCAATTCAACACGCTTACATGGTTTTAAAATGAGTGCAGGACGGTTCATATTATTGTATTTCGTGTCTTGACTGCTCCACTCTTTCGCACCTTTACCTAACCTGTATAACGTCACATTTTGAAGGACCCTGATTGGCCCAGAGGGGTGAGGGTGGAGCTTATTTCGTGCATGCATCGGTGTGTCGGACTGCCCGCGCTGCTTGTTACGTGGATATAAAGATGTTTTTTCGGACCTCCGCCGTCTGACAGTAAGTTTATTAACGTGCACACCTTTTTATCATGTTAGTTAATCCTGTTGCTCACAGTGTCAGCAGGAGGAGCTGTTCGGGTTTGTTTCTGTGCAGGTAGGTCCACTTTAGGCCTCCACCGAGGTGAGAAAAACTCCTGCTAAGATTGAACTCGAACCGTGTTTTTAAATCTACTTTCAGTCCAGTTACATTAGCGATAAGGAAATTATTCACTTCAACCTCATATTTTTAAGTAGGCTGTAACATTTAGGGTCAAAAACTTATCGAGTAAAAAAAATCGGTAAAATTGGTAAAAATGTTTTTGGAAACGGCGGTTAGGAAACTCAGTGTAGGAACTGTTTTTAACCGGTAGGTGGCGCTGCAGCTCAGTCAACAGGCATGGACGTTACATAGTAATTTATTCTTAATATATATATAATATACCAGCAGTACGAAAAATAACACGATCTAAGGCGAATAATGACATCAGTAAGAAATTCACCAAATGTTTAAAGTAAGAATAAACTTATAGAAATAATTATTAGATATAAATATAAACAAAAAAACTGTAAAAAGATGTAAAAGCTGAGGAAAAAGATGTCCGTTTAATCGGTTTAATGAGGCCATTTGTTTTCCTAATTTACATTTTTTATTGTCGCGAAACGTCCAAAAACTGGAGACTGACATGTTCTGATGTAAGAAAAAAATGATTTTCCTGATAACTAACTTTCCGTTTCATTAACTGAGTGTATCTGCCTGTCTCTAAAGTTTATTTAAATATAACTGTGTCCGTGTTCAGTTGGACTGATCCATGTTTAGGTCAGCGAAGACCGCCGTTCACACTCCCAGCAGTAGGGGGCAGCAGGAACCAGGAAGTGTGTTTGGTGTGTGGGACAGAGGGATGTGTGTGTGTTTCGGTTCTTACCTCGTTGCTTTGGAGAGATAAATAAACCTTTTTTTTCACTAAAATATATCTTTTATCTTTACTAAACCTCTTTACTCCGATAGTCCGTGTGCTAGAGCTGTAATCGTGTCAAACCTTGAATGAGATGCTGTATTTTCCCGGCTCTGTATTTTCATTGGATCTGAGTGATCATGTGATCACGGTCGCTCACATCATGACGTTAACCCGCTGTTCGTTTAACAAAGTTGCTGTAATGTGTTGATATTTGCTGGTAGACTCGTGCAGCATGTGTTCGGTTAGTTTCGTGTTTCTCCGGATGTCCCTTTAACGCATCACGTCCGGTCGAACCTCTGGGTCAGACGGACAGTTCGGGGAATCAGGTCCTGGTTCCTGACAGTTACAGGTTATCGCTTCTCGGCCTTTTGGCTAAGATCAAGTGTAGTATCTGTTCTTATCAGTTTAATATCTGATACGTCCCCTACCCGGGGACCATATATTAAATTGATTTTTGGAACTGGGAGATGGAATAGGGGCTTGCTCCGTCCACTCCACGCATCGACCCGGTATTGCAGTATCTCCGGGAACGGTGCACCCCCCTAACTGTGTTCAAATGAAGTATGGCAAATGAAGTACTGGACAGCGGGAATAAACGTTAATGATATATAGTATTGTCAGACAGTTGATAGACTGTCACACATGCAGCTATGGAGTGAAAAATCGGTTGCAGCATTAAAGCAGATACGGTCAGTACGGAGGCCTAGAACAGCCACTCCTGTAAATAAAAAAAGAATGCAAAACTAAAAATCAAAATGGAGGTTACTGATTCAAAAAATGTCATTTTAACAAACACTTAAGCACATTATAATATTTTCTTATACTTGATATTTCAATCATCAGTCATACAGCACCCTGTGGTGTCCAGTGTTGTTTTCGTCAGGCAGGACGAAAACTTAAATGACGACGTCAGACCCCTTTTTTCCTTGACGAAAATGAGACTAAGACGAACGTCACCAAAGATCTGTAAAGACTAAAATGTGACGAAAATTATATTCATTTTCGTCAGACGAGAACGAGACGAGACTAAATTGTTATTAGGTGGACGAACAAAGTTTCAAAACATGCTTTTTTTTGTCCTAACAGTCACGCCCCCATCACACACGCACCAAAAGCCTCGCTCGCGCACAGCTGCGCGCACACACTCATTCACATACACAGAGCGGCAGGTGGACGAGGCGCGCACACACACACACACACACACACCGTGGCGGCAGGCACAGCAGCGGTGCCCGGTGGCCGAAAAAAGAGGGATGATTTTGGTCCTACTTCAGATACAGTCCAAGTGACAATAAAATAAAAGTGTCAATAAAACACGGGACGGGGAGACGAGACAGACGACAGTTGTGGAGCCACAGCTTCCTCATGCTTCAAACTGTCGGGAAAGAACACCACGAACCTCAAAAGGCACCTTTACGTCGACTAAAACTAGACGAAAACCTTTTGAGTTTTGGTCGGACTAAAACTAGACGAAAACTATCAAGGATAGAAATGACTAAAATGGGACTAAAACGAAGAAGCGTTTTGTCAAAATGACTAAGACTAAAACTAAATCTAAAATGCCTGCCAAAAACAACACTGGTGGTGTCTTTGATACCATCTCACTTTCTATTCATAGTACTGAGTCTGTTTATTACACGGCTTTATCTTTACCAGTAACAGTTGGTACAAACCACTTATTTTCATTTTACATATTTACATATTGTATTTATCTATGTATTTGTAATTGTATATTTCGGTGTTTATTTGATCTTTTTGTAGTGACTGGACTACGGTGGCTGAGAACTGCCACAGCTGCAAAACAAAAAGGAATGCAAAAAAAAAAAAAAGAAGCCTCAACCGAAGTTACCAAAAAAAAAAAAAAAAAGAGATAAAGAAACCGAAGCCTGCCACAAATAAAAAAAGAAAGTGCAGCTGAAAAGAAAAAAAAAACAACTTAAGTGACTGTCATTTTCTTTGACAACGTTGAGATGGAGAAGCAGCTTTGCATGATGGGAAAAGAAGCCATCCACCATCAAGTATTTATAGAAATCAAAGTTTGGGACTTAAACTGGCATTTGTAGATTATAATATTAGTTATTTAACACTGATATACTCTGGTTTCTGGTATATGTAGATGTTGAGGACCGTCAGTCACATTGGTATGTCTGTGAGTCGCTCAGTTGTCTGTAATTTCTTGAACTCTTTCTCACCTGGCAGAGGAGAAACCGTGACCGTGAAGGTGGTTCACCCAGGGGGAGTTTCAGCCGTTGTACTCTGGCTGTATGACCCCTGCGGATTCCCTACATGTGGGAAGCTTGACTGCTAGTTTTACGGTAGTGGGGGAAAGGGTCCTCGTTCTCCCCTGATAACACGTTCTAAGGCAACTATTGAAATTGGTGAGTCATACTTTGAAGAGAATTGGTCAGTTGTTGTTGGTTGTTTGAGATGTGACAGTACAGACGGTGACTCGGGTCAGTCCGGGCTGCAGTGATGAGTAATGACATTGAAATGTTTTCTCTCAGTCGACTCGTACGTGTCTCAAACCTGCTCGACTCGTCACCGTGCCCACTTCACCACGACGAAAACTCAGCTGATGACCTGGAGGCCTGAAAAGTCGAGGAGCAATAATCAGATTATTTTAGTCTAATTAAGGATGCTCTGTTCCAGTCCTGGACTCGGGTTTCTGTCTGAGGAATCTCCTCACAAAAGAACATCAGACATGTCTGTCCGACCCGGTTCTGGTTTCATCTTTGTTTACAGCAAACATGTGGGTGATGTGTTGTCAGTGGGTCAGCAGGTCTGAAGTGTAGTCCAACACAGAGGGAGCCAAAAAGAGAGGCTCGTGGTTTGATGGTTCGGAGGTATTTCACACTTATTGTGCCAACAACTGAAAAACCTGACATGTGCAGAAAGGCCTGATTTTACCAAAACATCATCCCGGTCCTGTCCTCACACTGAGGGAGAGAGGTCAGTTTAATACCAGAACCATATCAGAATCAGTAGATCCCAACGTCCAGGTCTAGTTTTGGGTATCAGGACTTTAAAGGTCGGATCTGTAATTTCAGGTTTTTGTAAAAGTTGCTCATCTTTCCTTACAGCAGAGCGTCTCTGTGTTCATTTTAACAGACCTGATAATCAGAGATTTATTTCTGCTGTGTCGCCACGATTCAGGACTGAAACCACACCTCAGCTGCACCCGTCCCAAACCCCACCCTGTTCTCGCCCTCAGTCCTCCCTCCTGTTTCCTTCTCTCTTCCTGAAAGTTGAGACTAAAGTAAACACTTGTCATCACACAGGTACAGAAAACATGACCATGAGGGTGTTGGTGTAATTCAGCTGTTAAAGGAGCTTTTTAAACCACAGAGCAGACCCTCACCTAAAGGTCAGCGTAAAGGTCACAGAGAGGCGAGGAGATCATCTCCAGGACAAAGAAAAGGCTGTTAGAGCGAGTCAGAGGGAACAAACAGAGAAATCTCTTTAACCAAACATCCTCCCCTTTAAGAAACTCAGACCGCCGATTACTGAGGCTACATCCTGATCAGCCGACTGTTCTGCTTCAAACGGAGGTGAAGATGGAGACTCTGACTCCAGAGGAGGCGAGAAAGTGAAAGTGAAATATGTGAGCGGTCGTTAAAAACCTCCAATCAATGAAGAGTTTGTGAAGAGGACGATGAACATTTCAAAGTGAGGAGGTCGAGAAAACCTGTGAAACACTTAATTTAAGAACTAATGAGCCAAAAACTCTGGAAACAGATTTCAAAGTTTTGTAGACGGGCAGAAAATTCTGATATTCTGATATTTTTCATCTTTTATTGCCTTTTACCGTTTTTATTTTTCTCCTTTTTCTTTTACCTCTTTCACCTCTTTCTTATTTAGACTTACTGCCTTTTTAGCCTTTGTTTTACTTATAATCTTTTTATTGATTTTAATGTTTTCATTTTCCTTTATTTTATATATATATATTTAATTCCACTTTATCATTTATATTACCATCATTTTATTTTATTATGATTTTATTATTATTATTAATATCCTCTTTTATACTTACTAGCCTGTTTTCTTCCCTCCTTTTCTATTTCTTTTTTTTTTGCTTTTATTTTGGTCCTCATGGTCCCATTTATTTTGTAGGGTTCTTGTATTGCCTGGGTTTCTTACGAAAAGTGAAACAGGCCTACAATTCAGAGGCCTGTTTTTAACTGAGCTTTTGTTTTTATGTGTTTTTATTTTCAATGTGCTGATGCTCTGTGCTTACAACTGTTGTCTAAGCACTTTGTGAACTTCTGTTTTTAAAGGTGCTATATAAATAAAATTATTATTATTATTATTATTTTTATATGTTCTAGTATCTTTGAATCAGGAGTCAAAGAGAAGCAATAAGACACGATTCAGACTGTTTATGACTTCTCCATAAAAGGATCACAGAGGTTGGTGACGTGTGTGTGTGTAAATATTTAGTCCCTGCAGGTTTCTAAGTGATCTATGAAATGAGGACCAGTTTCTCAGACCTCATTAGAAGGACATCAGACAGTCGAGCTGTTTTCGAAGGCGTGCTGTTTTCTCAGGCATACCACTTATTGTTTGTACAACTGGAAAATGCTGTTCCACAAACTGGTTTGCCCTCAGAGAAAAGGGAGGAGTGTGACAACGGAAACACACGCCCTTCACAGCACAGTCTCGACCTCCACAGCTCTACACCTGCGCGGCTGTCGCTGACTGACGACACACGTGGAGGAGGACATCGTTCTGACAGACAGCCGAGTTTGAGCGCCGGTCGAATAAAAATATGGACGATGGACCGCCACAGGGCAGAGTGGATCCAAAGAAGAGCCAGGAGGAGGAGGAGGAGGACAGTTTCGACTGGCTTCTTGGGAGGGACAGTCCGGAGATCGTTCACGCACCGATGGACACCAACATCTTAATGTCCAGGTAGGTGGACCAGAGGATCTGAACTTAGTCTTCATGAGCTTTAACTGACGACACAGAGGTCAGAGGTTTGATCGATGCTGAGAGAAGTAAGTCTTCACTGACTGACAGGTATCAGGTGACGTGTTGGCAGCTCTCAGGTAAACAAACGAGGATCTGCTTTTTGTTCTCCGCTGGATCATTTTCAACACAGGCTCCTGTTACAGCTGTTCACGCCCGCTGTAGTTAATGTGTTTGAGTTTAAATATTCATGATGAAGAGTGTTACATAACACCGCCGTATCCACTTTATGATTTCTACATTTCAGGGATTATTGTACGAACATAGACGGCACATGCAGTAAAACCTTCACCAGAGAGCGGGTGTTCGAAGCTGCTTCACAGGGAGACGCCGCACAGCTGAGCGGGCTGCTGGACTACCTGAGAGACAACCACAAGAGACTGACCGGCCCCGAGTTCACAGGCAAGTGGAGAGGAAGGAGCTCAGAGTCTGTCTGATCAATAAAGTTTATGATAGTTCAGATTTATAACTCATCTTTGACACCACACATACATAAACACACTCACACACACGTTAATAAAACACTCCAGCGAGGAGGACCGAGTCTGGGAACGGATCAGACGAGATTCTGGATCTCCTGTAGTACCTGCAGCGTTGACAGAAACAGAGACCCGAACTACACGAAGGCGGATATATTTCAAACCGCACATATTTATGTCTGATTAGGCCTCCCTACCACACCAAACCGGGAGTTTGGAGCACTCAAACCGGATAAATCTGAATCCGGGAAAACAAGCGGAGAAATAAAAAAATATCTGTATCCCGTATCCGTTGTGGATTCGTGTGGTCGGACTTTTACGGATCGAAGACGTCAAACCGCAGCTCGCCCATGCGAATTAAAAAGAAAAACAACAACGATGGCGGACAGACAGGGTATTCTTTACGTTTGTTTTGCCCTTTTGGGGCTAATTTCAGCCTTGACAGTGAACCTTGTTTTATACAATTACATCCACCGGTCAGCAGCTCACAGAGGCGTCTGCTGCGGCCAATACTTTTATTGGTCACATGGATTCGACGCACTAGCGTAGCTTCCGCAAACAATGCATGACGCATCACGCTGTTACGATTCATCGGCCAATCAGTTAGCTTTGTTACTGAATTTTTTTTAAGCGGCACCAGATAGGATTGAGTCTGAAGGCTACGTGTGGACGCAGATATTTTTGAGAACTAACACGTGTGGACAGATACATTTATTTAGACGGGAGTACAAAAATATCCTGATAAATAAATATTTATATACGTGTAGTTCGGGCCAGAGACCCTGTTCGGTTTGTCAAACTCGCCCCATGATTCGGTCATTCATGCTCTGAGATCAGGACTAAGACATGCTGATCACAACCATCCAAACTTTCAGATGAGCTCACGGGGAAAACGGCGCTGCTGAAAGCTCTGCTGAACGTCAAAGATGGGAAGAACGACACCATCGAGGTCCTCCTGGACGCAGCCGAGAAAACGGGGGACCTGGAGGAGCTGATAAACGCCTCCTACAAAGATCAGTGCTACAAAGGTGAGTGAAGGTCTCATCATGTCACTGAAGGTTCATCTTCAGATAAAACAGAGAACCAGCATGTCGGGTTTATATCTGAACAGAGACACCGGTGAGAACTTCCTCTCCTGCTCTTCCTCCACATTTGCAATAAAAACCACAAATCAGGCAGGTCACCAGGAAGAGCTGATGGTGTTGAATGGACTGTTGAGGTGACGCAGGCCTGTAAAGTAGAGAGCGGTGGTTTTATCTAAGCTTCTACCTCTTCACCATGAAAAACTACAAACAAACCGACTCTGAGCGCAGATCGATAAAGATTTGATCACAGAGGAAAAACTGACGCTGGTACAAACTCGACTTCAGGTGAACTTTCCCTTCGCAGTAAAATCTTGAAGGTCTTCTCTGTTGGAGCAGCGTCTTTATCAGATCCTCTTCTTTAGTTTTCTTCTGGGACTTTCTCCTCACTGAACCGGTCCTGTGAAAAAACGAACACCCATCCTGAGTCGGTTTTTGTGGTCACTCTGTGGCGGTTTTCTCCCGTTTTGGTTGACGCCTCTTTGGCTCGACTCCTGAAGTGTCTGAGCCGTTCTTCCCCGTCCGCTCGTCTCTTAAGTTTGGTGCTCTGTGAATAAGTAAAAATAACCTCCTCATGTTGGACTGAACAAACAAAGACTTTTATCACATAGTCAACAGGAAGAGGAACGTTCATGTCTCACTGTCTCTTCAAGGACTGATTCAGGATCTGGTCGTTCTCGGTGTTTTATTCTTTAGATCAGTTTTCAGTGTTTATTTCCTGTTTTATTTTGTAGGAGTTGATTCCTGGTGTTTCTAGTTTTCCCTCCTTTGTTGATCACTCGTCTGTCTCACCTGTTGTTCATTTCTCTGTATATAATCCCTGTTTTCTCCTCTGTTCTTGTTGGTTCATCGTCCGTCTGTCTGTCTGTGTCTGTGTCTGTGTCTGTGTCTGTGTCTGTGTCTGTGTCAGTCGTTGTGTGAACCTTTAGTCTCCTTGTGTTTTTTTCCCAGTGCTCTTTAGTTGGATTCGGACGTTTTTTAGAGAGTTTTTAGTTCTCTTTAAATGAATCCCTTCTTCTGTATTTAGGCCCTTCCTAAATAATCGATATTGACGCCATTATCAATTCTGCTTATCGATTCAATTCTTTATCAATTCCCTTATCAATGTCTTTCTTTGACTTAAAGAAGTAGACTATAGGTTTTCACCGTTAATCCAGAGTTTTATTGAGTCTCTTTTTTTTTTTTCTTATTTATTTATTTATTTATTTTTATTTAACAACAAAACAGAGTGACGACAACAACAGAAACAACAACAACAACAAAAAGATAAAAAATAAAAAATTTACAAAAATACTTTGTGAGGGAGGGGAGGGGGGAGGAATTTATAAAATATGTAAAAGAGAATTTAAAAAGAAAAGAAAAAAAAATCTTAATTGGATTACATTGGAATATCTATATAATAATAATAATTATATGTATATATATATATATATATACATACACATACAAACATACATGCACACATACATACACACATATACATATACCCACACACACACACAATCCCCCCGAATCACCGACACAACAGCGACGATACAACAACCACAACAGCATCAGCAGTAACAACACCAGAAATACCGGCGACAGCAATGACAGCAAACAAATGACCGCAACGACGCTAACAATAATGACAGTCATACTAATGAGGATATGGAACAACAAAAGCCACCACAATCCACAACACTATGGCCCGGGCCAGTTTTATTGAGTCTCTGATGACAGAGACAGATGTCTGCCACCTTCAGTGAGAGACTAAAATAATCAGCGTTTTCTTTGAACGCTGTTTCGTCAAATCAGGGTGACCATATTCTGGATCTCCAGAAAGAGGACGATATGACGCGGGGTGGGGTTGCACGCAAAATGTTGAGGGTTTTTTATGCGCTTCTAACTCAGTCCACGCCTCACAAACTTAAGACTTCCGAACAAAACCCTGAACATTTGGTGGACAGCCTCCCCCCAAAAAAGAGGACATGATTAAGTCTGGTCTGCGTTGTGTTTATGTTAACACAGGACGTATGTTTACTTACTGGAGTTTCCACCTTTTCACGTTATCACTGCTCGATAAACGTGGCGCTGTTGTCGTCTTTCTTCGTAAACTGAAGCCAGGCTTTAGATCGTTTCTGACGACTTTTCGTACCGTCCGCTAAGGATGGGCTAAAAAATTTATACTGATAAGTTCTGCTATTCTGGCGATAACGATAAAGTCCCGATAAAATAATGTTATAATTCCAGTCTATATTTTTGATTCACTGTCTTGAGAAACCCTCAAACCTTGTTCTTGGATGTTCACCAGCTGAAACAGTCGAATCAGATCTGTAACCACGAGTTGAAGTGGGAGGTTAAGGAGAAAACTGGCGACTTTAAGACAAATCTGAAATGTTAAAAACACTGAATATTTCTTTAAAACTCTTCTTGAACAGCAGCAGATCCACTCTCAGATGTCAGGCAGACCGGACCGCGCTCGTCTGAACCCCGATCTCCACAAACTTCGGCCATGTTTGTTCGTCGTTCTGATCTGTGTCACCTGCAGTGATGTCATCAACCTGCGTTTATCGCATTTATCGTGAGACGGAGAAAAATGATCGTGGAGGATTTTTCTGACGATAAATCCTGAACGATAATCTCACACCCATCTCTACCGTCTGCCGTGTTTTTTCCCTCTAAGTCTCTGTTCTCGTCTCCGGGTTCTAGCGAGACCGTTTTTCAAGGAATCATTAAGATAAGATGCAGACGATGTCGGTTCTTGATTCCCATCACTAATCAAACGTTCATCATCACGTTTGTCAGCGTCTCAGTGAAGTTCTCAGGATACGTTTACAGCCGTCTTCATCTCTCTACGACATGTCGCAGGTCAGACCGCCTTGCACGTCGCCATCGAGAGGAGAAGCTTTGACCATGTGAAACTGCTGGTGGAGAAAGGAGCCGATGTTCAGGCGAAGGCCAACGGGGAGTTCTTCCAGAGGAAAACTGGACTGGGCTTTTATTTTGGTGGGTCACTGAACACGCTCCTTCCTCTGTCGGGTTTGTCCGATGGCTCTGTCTCTAATCCTTGACTTACTCCGACAGGTGAGCTACCTTTGTCATTGGCCGCCTGCACCAACCAGCCTGAGATGGTGACCTACCTCATGGAGAATCGTCACAGAAGAGCCGACCTCACCGACAAAGACTCACAAGGAAACACGGTCCTACACGCGCTGGTGGTCATCGTGGAGAATACAGACGAGAACACGGAGATGGTGTCAATGATGTACGACCACATCCTGACCCAGCACAGCAAACTGAAGAAGAAAGGTCAGGTGGAGCTGGAGACCATCGAGAACGATAAAGGCTTCACTCCTCTGAAGTTAGCCGCCAAGCTCGGGAAGATCGGGGTGGGTCTGAGTTCTTCTTCTGTCCTTTCACCAAGAGACCAGCTCTCTGTTTCCTTCACTGTTTTCTGTCCTTTCTCACCTCCAGCTGTTTAAACACATGCTTCACCGCGAGTTCACGGAGGAGGAGATGAGACCGCTGTCCAGGAAGCTCACCGAGTGGGTCTACGGTCCGGTTCACTCCTCGCTCTACGACATGAGCTCCATAGAAACGGATGAAGACCGCTCCGTGTTGGAGATCGTCGTCTTTGGGACTAATGTTCCGGTACGATCTGTGTGGTCGTCCACCGCTCCTTCACGCTGCGTGATAGTCGTTTTGAAATGGTGGATATAAACTGATGTACGAGTTATTTTAACGTTAGCAGAGACGTCTGAACAGGCTTCAACAAATCCAGAATGAATCCCAAACTAACTCTGATTATCCTGGTCCATGATCGGTCAGGTCAGATGTGAAGTGATGGTTGTGTTTATGATCGGAAACAGGAGAGTTAGCATCAGTCGAATGTTTAGGTTCACCTTCTCAGACCTTCTCAGCCTTCATGACGGGGGATTGAAGCTCTTTAACGACGTGTGGAGGCGGTTTTCTGAGGGTGTCTCTTTCTCCCGTCAGAACCGGCCTGAGATGCTGCAGATCGAACCTCTCCGCAGTATTCTTCAGGACAAGTGGGACAGATTTGCCTCCAAGATCTTCTTGATGAATTTCCTGGTTTATCTGTTGTACCTGTTCATCTTCACCGCCGTGGCGTTCTACAGGAAGAAAGGACAGGTAACCTTACGAACATGATAAACCCTCCTAGATAAAAAAACTGCGTTTCAACGGTTGAAGACAAACTCTGAATCTCGTACCTGCAGCCTCCGTTTCCCGTCCAGAACGTCCCTCTGGACCACCTCCGATGTGTCGGCGAGGTCATCACTGTCCTTGGAGCCGTCTGGTTTTTCATCAAAGCGGTGAGAAGAAATCTGCGTCTTTTCAAACACTTCAACAAATCCAGAATGAATCCCAAACTAACTCTGAGTTTCTGCTCTTCAAACCCACAGCTGATTTCTTTTCACAGGAACCCGCCGCGGTTCAAAACCCTCTACATGGATGGATTCAGCGACATCCTCTTGTAGGTATCTCTGAAGATCTGCGCTCTAACATCTAGTGAAGGAAGCTTTGATGCCAACTCCTCATGTCTCCTCGTTTTTAGTTTCCTGCAGGCGTCGCTCCTCCTGATCTGCACCATCCTCTACTTCTGTGGGCGGAGGGAGTACGTGGGGATCCTGGTGCTCTCGCTGGCGTTCGCCTGGATCAACGTCCTTCACTACCTGAGAGGCTCCAAGCAGATGGGGATGTACAGTGTCATGATGCAGAGAGTAAGACTCCAGGATCAGTGAGTGAATGAATGAGTGAGTGGAGGTAGATTTGTGGATAATCTTCAAGTCTTTTTTTTGTTTTAGATGATCCTGGTCGACCTGTTCCACTTCCTCTGCGTCTACAGTGTCCTGTTGTTGGGATTCTCAGCTGGTAAGACTCAGAATAACTCTGCAGCAGTGGCGATTGCTCTAAGACTGCAAGGGAAGCTCGGCTTCCCTTAAAATGTCACCCCCCCAAAAAAAAGAAAAAGTGGTGAAATACGTTCTGCTGTGTGTACATTTCATTAACTAAATACGCACTAGAAAGCCTTCATCTTTTGTTCAGACACTGTGATAAGAAGCTGATAATCACAGGTAACCGGCATAACTTCGTTCTCATTCATCCTCGCAGCGCCTCAGCGCTTCAAACAGCCGGACGCTGGGCTTCTGCTGACTTCAATGTGGAAGCTCAAAGTGGGTTGTTCCAGCAGCGAAACTAGACGCTCATTGGATAAATGCTGGGCTTTGTCCCGCCCATCGGAAGCCCAGCTTCACTGGAGTTCTATGGCGAGAGGGCGGTCC